TAAACTGAGAGTCAAGTCAACATTGCTCGACCAAGGGCCCACCAGAAATCCATTTTCCCATCAAGTAGACATTATTAGGATAAACAGACCCTGAGGTGGATGAGTAAAATTGCATGTATGGCTTTCAAGATAGCACAGATTGCTTTCAACTCGCCTCCATCAGGACAGTGGATTGTTTAAGAGATATACAGAAAGTTTGAGTCTCGAAGAATCCCTTTAGTTTTGTTTAAATAGGCAAATGAAAAGGATTACCAACTGGGCCTTCCCGCAAGCCAAAGGAGAATATTGTCTTGCAGTTGTGACTGTATATTTGTTCCAGCTTCTGGCATGATTGAGGCGAGTTAAAAGTGGTCTGCGCTACCTTAAAAGCCGCACATGTCATAGAACATGTCATACAACTCATCTTATTTCGTGAGTGAGCAGGTTGTTGAGACTACCAGCAAATCAGATATATGGTATGCATTTTCCCATTATGATATGAGTAGAGCTGATGCTTTATATTGAAGTTCCCACTTTTTATCATTCTGATTTGGGACCGGTATTGCACATACACGTCAACACAAACACACACACACACACATACACGCACACACTCGAACAAAAGTAGCAGGACCAATAGGAAAGATAATTAACCCAAACCATTCTATATCTATCTCGGCCTTTTAATTTTCTTTGCTTAAATGAGTCCATAAGCTAGAAGTGGATAGTCTTCTTGATGGTGTCCATCATATGATGGATGAAAGCACAGCCAGTTTCGTGGACTGCGTCAACCTGAACGTCGTATGAAATCCAAACGGCTGACGTACTACTGGATCCAGCCATCATCTTCTGGTGAGATCGACCTTTGAATATTTTCTTTATGCCATTTCGTACAAAATGAAAGTCTCCCCAACAATGATACCGATACGAAACGTCCGGAAATGCGCCAAGTCCAACGTCCGACGCCTAAAATCATCATCATCATCATCACTACTAAGACACAGAGAACTTCGTATCAGATGCTTTCACCTAGCTTGAACGGACGACCCGACCAAGTTGCGAAAACGAGGTCAAACCATTTGTGTACAGACGATCGTCTGTTTAGGTTTGTATGCTTTTTCAGGTAATAAGAGAACAGTTTTGAGACCTAATTCACACGAATATAAGAGAAGTGTTGCCACAATAGACCGCTGCATCCGTATGTGTGTTTGCGTGTGTGTGTGTGTGTTTGGTTACAAAGACTCTCGTGGTACTCAGCCTGATTCGCCAGTACTGTACGTGCCCAGCTTCCCGGCCTGATTACGACAAACTATTGGTTACTTTATTATGATACGTTTATTTTGAACTTGGCCATCAGCTGAACAATTCTTGCTTGCATGTAGCCAACCTACAGCTTGCATTGTCTGTTGTTGAGCTTGATGTGATTCGTAATGATGACAAGTGTGTGCGGTAAACGGTTCATGAGCACAAGTCTACAACCAGGTATGTACATGCGATGAAATCTGTCAATTCGAAGGGGCGGTATGAAGTACGTACAAAAAGTAAGAGCAGAAAGTGAGAAGGAAAGCTTTTATAAAACTCTCTTTACATAAAGTGGTATCCTGTCCGCGAGGTCATGATAATTCCCAGCATCGGAACGTACATGGATTTGGCAGATTGCTAAGCAAGTTGCCAGCAATGCCTTTGGCGTTCTCATTATTTAGAAGGTAACTCGTCAAAAGGATAACTATAGTTCAGCCCTTGCCCAACTTTCTGTCGTGGTATGCAAGACTATGGGTTGGGCGCAAGTGTCAGGACATGAAAAGAGATCGCACAACCGATGAGCAAAGAGGCATTCAAGGCATGATTACTACGCCAGTGAATGTCAGACAGGTTATGCTCTTCCAGATCGCCTTGGCAACTGAAGCAAGTTGTACAAATGAGAGCAGATTCTGTCTTTACAGGATTTTTACGTTTCACCACAAAATGCACCATCAAACTGGTCAGGGCAGATGTTGCGGTAGCTTGTGTCATGGCCAATTTATGACCTATTCTCGTCGAAAGTCTGAACCAAGTGAACCCGTGTCAGAGTTCCGGCTACTCGGGGTTGGTAGTTCGTCTGTGAATGTTCCTCACATGGCGCTGCATGTTTGAAGAGATGCTAAACGACCGCTCGCAAAAGGGGCAATGGTACGGTTGCTCGCCGGTGTGGGTGCGCAGGTGCCGATTCAGATTGGCCGCGCGTGGAAACACTTTACCGCAAACGGAACACGGATACTGTTGCTGCTGTAACTGTAGCTGTAGCTGTGGATCTTGTTGGTGTTGCTGGTGATGGTGGTTGTGGTTGTGGTTGTGGTGGTGGTGGTGGTGGTGATGATGGGGATGTTGATGGTGGAGATGGGCTTGTTGCGCTGACGATTCGTTGGCATCCGTTTCCTCTGCGGTGGCGGTGACAGTTTGTTGTGCCTGAGAAGCCTGTGAACGTACCAAATCGGCCGACTGGATCGTGGAAGAGGGAGGCTGAGCAAAGAGGTCGGGAATGACGTGAATCCGGTGATGCTCCTGAAGACTATGGGGCGGAGATCGCAAGTGTGGCAGCGAGTGTGAACAGCGCGAGTAGGGCTGTAGGCCTCGGTGGTGGCCCAACCAGCCTCTACAGGCCGGAGGTCTTGAAAAGTTGGTGCCAGTCGAGGCATAAAGGGTGGGATTCAAATGTTGCCATACCAATGAGGCGTTGAAACGATGTGCAAATCGGACGCCAATCGGCTCAGCAACGGTCGTCACTGGCGTTTGCTGCCTTCCGTTGGCCACTTGTGCCGATTCTGGCCGCGATGAGCACACCCCAAAATGGCCGGTCGGCAGTGAGTCGAATGGGCGAGAATGCGGCTGAGTGGGTAGACATTTTGAAGAGGAGTGTCCGACGGTGCCGGCAGCCGCGGCGGCAGCAGCAGCAGCAGCAGCAGCGGCAGCCGTAACTGATGCCCTCCAGACGGAGGAGGAGAGGTTGAGAGCCAACGGCTGGTGGCCTTTAAAGCGGCCAACCGAGGCTGAAAACGCCAATTCGTCAGCATCGGAGGAGTGGAAGTGACTTGGGCGAGAGGAGGGATGAGTGAAAAGAGACGGAAGCTGGGAGTATGCGGGAGAGGGAGCGAGAAGAAGACGAGCCGGATCAAGGTCGGCGGGAGGAAGCGAAGGAGGCGGAGGCGAAGGAGGAGGGAATAAGGGCATGGGCGGTAGAGTAAAGGGAAGAGGAAGGGAGGAGTGGGTAGGGGAGGGCGGAGGAGGAGGTGGAAGAGCGGGAGTTGGAGTAGAGTAGGATGATGTGATGGGAGAAGGGTGAAAAGTGGGCTGGGTGGGACAGGAGATGGCGTCTGGAGCAAATCCGCCCGAGAGACTGTTTGGCCGGTGACGACACCTGTTGTCAAGGCGTTCGTGATCGGTGATGTCATGGCGATTTCCGGTTGAGACGGGATCATGGGTTGCTGGGGCAGTCTGTAGCGATTGCTTCAGTGCCTGTCTGCCAGGCAGACTGACTAGTTGGCTGAGGGCGGCGGCCAACAGGAGGCTGGTGTTGCTGGGCGGCGGGTATCCGGGGGAGACAGATGCGGAGGATGAGGAGGAGGAGGAGGAGGGAGGGGAGGGAGGCTGTGGACCGAGGGCATGTTCGAGGCCGGCAGAGGGTGCTGGTAGACGCGGGAAGGGTGGCTGCGGCCGGCGGTCGACCAAGGAGAGGTCGAGAGGGTGGGGGGTGAAGAGGTCGCGATCGACAGAGTGACTTGTTGCTGGGGCCTGTGTTGCCTGCGCGTAGGCGCCCAGAGTCAAGTGGAGCCAAGAGAAGTCGAAGGTATCCTCTTTGTTTGGGTTGGCGGAGCTCGAAGGTCTGATCGGCAGGGCTTCGTCGAGTCTGGATGGACTGTCCGAAGGGCGATCCGACCCTTCGCAGCCGTCTGGATTGTTGGTTCTTTGGAGGAACTTCAACAGGCCCGAGGCGGACGAGAGCCCGTTGTGGTCGACGGGGAGACGAGCGATGGCGTCTGGCGGAGGAGGTGCCGTCGCCATGTCGGTCTGAGAAGGCTTTGTCGATTCCGGTGGAGGACTAGTACGTGAGGAGAGGCGGGTCCAGGCGGTGCTATGTTAAGTAAGATACGACGAATATGCGACTTTCAATGAGTCGTTTGAGACAACATTGTTGGGCAGAATTAAATTTTGGCATGAAAGTGAATGATGAAGAGATTTGTAGACCGATTCCCGTTCTACTACAGCAGTTTGGCTTTAATAAGAAGAGAAATCAAGAAAAAATC